ACCCCCACCTCCAGCACAGGGAATGCCGGGAGAATGGACAGGCCAGTCACCACGTGGAAGAGAGTTGATGACAAAGAGGGAGGGATGGCTTCAGAAGACGTGGGTGGCTGCACTGCCCGGAGCTAGCACCCCTGGTGCCAGGGATGGCTTCCAGCAGAGGTGACAGGGCTGGAGGAAGGGAAGTGAGAAAGGAGGCCAGACCTGGGGACCAATGTCATGTGAGCAGGGAGAAAGCAGAGAGCTCCTTACCCACAGCCCTCAGCGACTTCACCCCCTCACTGTCCCTGGGCCCACAGCAGGTCCATAGCTGGGAATGTTCCTCCTTGTCCCCTAAGAGTCCAGGCCACGTCCAGTCTGTCCTGTTGTGCCCAAGAGCCACCAGCCAGCGGGGCCTCCAGTCATGGCCCTGGCCTTGTATCACCATCATGGCCTCTACCAGGCAGATCCTGAGGTCATCTGCCCCCCCACCCCCCGCCATGAGGAGCATCCTGGGCGTGGACGGAGGGTGTCTGCCGGTCTTCTCTCCTCCAAAGCCCACACAGGGAGCAGGCTCAGTCTGTCGGGTGAATGAATCCATGAGTGAATGAATCGATGAATCAGAGAAAAAGGAAATGAGTGAATGATTGAATGGGTGAATAACTGAATGGGTGAATGAAGGAGTGAGTGTATGGGTAAATGAATTGATGAATGGCTGAATGAATGAATGAATGGGTAAATGCATGAATGGATGGATGAATGAGAGTGAGTGAATGAACGGGTGAATAAGTGAATGGGTGAATGAATGAATGGGTAAATGTGTGACCACTCCCCAGTGCCCATTGAAGGCACCAACAACAACTCTGCCTGGGCAGGACTCATACACCCACCCGTGGTCTGGCAAGCCTCTGATCTGCAGAGGCCCCTGCTTTCACCCTCATGGGTCAGGGCGGGCCTCACCCAGGTCCAGAACATGCTGGATGGACCTGCTTCTGAGGGTCTCTGGCTGTGGGGTGTCCTCCCACTCTGTGCAGAATGAATGGATGAGTGAGTGAATGAATGAGTGAATGAATGAATGCCTGAAATAATGGCTGCCCCTGACACTTTACCTAAGACCCAACTGTACATTTACATGCTTGGTGTAGACACCAGAGCTCAGAAAAGCCCCCAATGGGAGGACCTTAGGAGACTCCTGTGTCCCCTCCTCAGATGTCCTCAGCGGTCCTGGTTCTGCTCTGGAGCTGCAGGGAAGACCCGAGATTGGGCAGGACACGGGGCTGGCTTTCTGTCTGTCCTGGGCTGTGGGGTGTCTGCCTGCTCTGTGCAGAGACGGGAAGGGCTTGGACTCTGAGGTTCCTCTTTTGTGAACGGCCGAGATCTCGTGCTCCTCCCCAGCTTCCGTGGTCTCACCACGGTCTCCTCTCCCACTGTCTTGATTTTTTCACCCACAGGAGCCCAGAAACCCTCCATGTCAGAAATGCTGTGGCTGCTGCCTCTGCTGTGGGCAGGTGAGTGTCTGAGGGGAGAAGGGGGGGT